GGTGTGTTTCTTCCCGGGTGGTCCTCGCTGTAGTCAGCTCCTTGGAGCATTTGGTAAGGCCTTGGTCTTACATTCTGGAGGCACCGCTGGGATCCCTGGGTGTGCTTCACTATAGTCAGCTCCTTGGAGCGTTTGGTAAGGCCCTTGGTCTTACAATGCTGAACCAGGGTTACTCAGCCTCGTCATTATTGACATTTTAGGCAGGATATTTCTTTTTTGTAGGGGGCTGTTCTGTTTATTGTGAGACATTTAACAGCACTCTTGTCTCCCCACAGAGGCTCAGCAGTACCTTCCAATCAAGTGTGCAGTGGGGAGAAAGCTCTTCCCTCCTTGAGAGGCACCGCACCAAATTGATGATTATCTCTGGGCTGAAATAATTTTACCAGTTACGTTCCTACCTTGTTATGAATGGTGAAGCATGTATCATTAGTATCATTAGTCTACAGGAGGTAGGAACTTAATTATCCCAATCATGCAGCTACTTGATATGTAATTTATTTTGGAGGAAATTTTATCAGTGATTTATGCACAAATCTACATTTAAATTGATTAACTTGTTTTTGAGTCAGAAGTCTTGCTAAGTTGCCCAGGATGGCCTCAAACTCACCATCTTCCTGGCTAAGCCTCCCAAGTAACTGGTATTTCAAGTGCTCACTACCACTGTCCAGCTAAAATGTACATTTTTGAATATTTGCACATAGATTGCTAGATGTTTTGTTTCTTTATGTTCACAATGACAAAAATTTTTTTTCGAGGAAATGTTAATGAAATAGAACTTTCAGAGAACAAGAAAGAGCTCTGGAAATTAAAAACATAATAGCATGCATTAATTATCTATTGTTATGTAATAAGTTACCTCAAAACACAGTGGTTTAAGGAGGCCAGAGATTTAGCTCAGTGGCGCCGCACCTGTCTCACAAGCACTAGGTCCTGAGTTTGATCCCTGGTACCATAAAACAAACAAAACACAGTGGCTTAAAAACAATTATTAAAAAAAAAAATTATAAACATTTTAAAATGTCATTGTTTCTGATCATGAAACATAGGTCATCTGGGTGGTTCTGTGAAGGAGGTCTCTCCTGAAACTGAGCTCAAGGTGTCAGCGGGGCCCTGGCTGGGAGGGAGGCTCGATTTCTAAGATGGCGACTCATGCTCATGCAGCTGGTTGCTCAGGATTGCGATTGAAGGCTTCGGTTCCAAGGTGGTCTCACCATAGGGTTACAGGACATTGCAGCTGACTTCTTCAGAACTCAGTGACCCAATGGAAAGCAAGTCAGAAGCAGCCTTGTAAGTCACATATCATCACTTCTCCCTTTTCTGTTGGTCACATAGACCAACTTTGAGGGCATTTGAGAAGAGATTATATAGGGGTATGGAAACTGGAAGGCAAGGGTCACTGAGGACCATTTTAGAACCTGGCTACCATAACACAGTACAGTAATAAAAATCTTGGCTGCGTGGTAGTGCATGCCTACAATCCCGGCACTTGGGAGGCTGAGGCAGGAGGATCGCTTTGAGTCTCAGGCCACTGTGGGCTACATGGTGAGACCCTGTCTCAAAAACCAAACAAATAAAACAAAACAACCAAAAACAAACCAAAAACACCCCACAAAAACATTAGAAGAGTTAGAACATGAAATGTGAGAAATCATGTAAAAAGGAGAACAAAAAGATGGGTGGATGGAGAATAGAAAACAAAAGATAAGGAAATGACAATCAATTCAGGAAGCCTAATATATGTCTCACAGAAGATCCACGAAGAGATGGCAAGAAATTATAAAAGAAATTTAGAAAGGCTGCAAGATATGAAGTCAATATAGAAGGCTGGGGAAGTCAATATAGAAGTCAATACAGAAGGCTGCAGTGGCGCCATGCCTGCCTCACAAGGGCAAGGTCCTGAGTTCCATCCCCAGTACCAGAAAAAAAAAATCCAAAGTCAATATAGAAAAATCTCTTTCTCACACACATGCATGCACAAAAGCAATGAACGACTGAAAATAAAAATTTAAAATTCAATTTACAATAGTGTCAAAAATACAAATGCTGGGCTGGGGATTTAGTTCAGTGGCACAGCACCTGCCTGGCAAATGTGAGGCCCCAAGTTCAATTCCTGGTACCAAAAAAAACCCCCAACAAAACCCCACACAAAATACAAATGCTTAGAAATAAACACAAAATGTGTAAGACACTGTAAACTACAAACCATCCCTGAGAAAAATCAAAGATATAAATCAAGAAGTATACAATATTTATGGATTGGAAGGCCCAACATGGTTAAGGTGTCAATTTTCTCCCAACTGAACCATAGGTTAAACTCAATTCCAACCAAAATCTGTGTTTCTGGGGGGTTTTTTTTGGTAGAAGGGGACTGACAATTCAAAACTGCATATTGAACTATAAAGAATTTAGAATATTCTTGAAAAAGAACAAGTTGGACTAATTACACTATTTTACTACAAGGCTTACTATAAAGTTTTAGTAATCAAGACATAGTAATACCTTAAGATACACAAATGGATGAATGGAATAGAAAGTCTAAACATAGGCCCATCATATTACAGTTAACAGATTTTTCTTTTTTTCCCCAGTGCTGGGGATCCAACTCCACCTTTAATTTGCCAGGTGTGGCGCCACTGAGCTATATCCCAGCCCCTAGTTACTAGATTTTTGATAAAGACACCAGAGCCAGGTGCCATGGGGGAAAGGAGAGCATTTTCAACCAATGTTGCTGGAACCACGTAGGTCCTCAAACAGGCCCTCAAATCTTACCTCACACTATTTTCAACATTTTATTTGATCTTTTTGAGGTACTTGGGATGGAAGAGCCTTCACACTGAACTGCAACCCTAACCCCATTTAATTTGTTTTCAGTAACGGGAATCGAACTCAGGACTTTCCAGCTTGCTAGGTAGATGAGGTGTCACTGAGCTACATAGCCAGCCCTTCAACATTTAATTTGAAATGGATCACATTTTGTTTTGTTTTGTTGAGACAGTGTCTCCCTAGGTACCCCAGACTGGCTTCAAACTCCCTGAGATCCTCCTGACTCAGCCTCCCAAGTGCTGGGATTACAGGCATGCATCACTACTCCTGACTCCTTTTTGTACAATTTTTCTTTTCTTTTCCACCAGTTGCCTTTTCATTCTGTTGACTGTGTCCTTTCATGCATAAAATATTTAGGTTTTTTGTAACCACATTTGTCTATTTGCCTTTGTTGCCTGTACTTTTGGTGCAATGTCCAAGACATCTTGTAAATTCCATATTGTGAGGCTTTTCCTCTGTTTTCTTCTAGAAGGATTTTAAAATTTTTTTTATTTTTTGTGGTGTTGAGGATATATCTCCTGCCCTTTTCTAGGCATTTTATAGTTTTAGGTCTTATGCTTATGTCTTTATTTTGAGCTAATTTTTGTATATAGTTTAAAATAAGGAAAAAAAAATAAAATAAGGGTCCCATTTCATTCTTTTCCACACAGATACCCAGTTTCCCCAACATCATTTTGGGGAGAGAGTTCTTCCCTCATTGAGTGGTTTTGGCATCCTTGTCAAAATCATTTGATGCAAGGGTTTAAAAAAAGACTTTTTTTTTTGGTAGCGGGGATCAATCTCAGGACCTTGCACTTGTGAGGCAGGCAGCGGAACCACTGAGCTAAATCCCTGGCCCTCAAACTACTTTTTAAAAAGCCACTAGCTTTTGCGCAGTGGCAGTATCGTAGCCAATGAGGTTTATCCGAGGCGCGATTATTGCTAATTAAAAAGCCACTGATGTCTTCCTTGCCCAGAGATTTATTATTATGCTGCTTGGTTTCCAAGTATTTCTGGAATTTTCTGGGTAACTTTCTTTGGTTGTTAACTTGTAGTTTAATTCAGTCGTGGTTGGAAACCACACCGATTCCAGTCCTTTTAAATCTGATAGTTGCTTTATAGCCTTGCTTCCCAAAACTGATTTTGTTTCCTTATGATGAGGATAATTATAGTTCATTTTTCTTTCTTCTCAGGTTATGAATGCAATATGTTGTGTGACTCAGTTTTTGAGATCCTAAACAATATTTCATCTGGAGGGGCTTACAGTACAATTATTAGGACATTGCTAAAGTCATAGAAGACTTCAGCTGTCTCGACGGACTTTTTACGAAGTTATTCTCTCTCCCAAAGAGGAGGGAGGAACAGTGGATTTGAGTCCTCCAGCTACGGCTCGGGTAGCTCTCCCTGGGTTTTAGGAAGCAACAGATGTACTCTTAAGAATTTTTCCACCCCCTATTGGTCTTCTCTTCAGAGGCTGGAAAAGCTAACCAGTTCTTGAAACCCTGCAGCCTTAGAGAGGGGAGCTGGGCTGAGGTCAGGAAAGGTGGAAGAACGTCTGATGCCCGACTTAAGAGCTCATCTCTTGCGAGGCCAAGGAAGCAGAGCCTCGGCTAACGGCCCCCATTCGCCTCAGGAACAGTAATCAAGAGCAGAGCGCTTCCGCACAAATCCCTCCTACCGCTCTTCCCAGCCACTCCAACTTCTACCCGGGACAGGCACTGGGTGCGTCTGAGGGCTCGGCTGGCACACTACCGGTCACGTGACACGACGCGGGGCTGGGCGGACCCGGGCGGACCCGGGGAAACTACCTTCATCCAGGTCCCTCCTATACGTCATTCGCGATGGCCCCGCCCCATCCGCCGAGTGGAGGAGCACAAGGCCCCGCCTCCAAACGGCCTCAAAGGGAGGGACCGGGCTTCCAGTAGGCTGTAGCGGGGGGGGGGGGGGGGGGAAAGGCCGGCAGAAGGAAACAGTGCAGGGGGAGGGGAAAGAGGAAGGGGGTGGTCACGTGCGTCAAGCCCCAGGTCACGTGACGGGGCGCCGGGGCGGAGGGAGCCGGGTCGGGAGTTTTTCTGAGGGAAGAGTGAAGTGGCGGGTACGCGGCGGCGGCGGCGCTGACAATGGTGAGTGCACGGCGGCCAGCGCGCCAGTCTCCCGCCTCGCCCTGAAGCGCGTGGCTGGACGGCCAATGGCGGGTGCGGCGCTGCAGGAAGAAGTGGCGGGCGAGCGGGCTGGGAGCGCGTTAGGCCCTTCGTGCTCCCCGCTCGGGGCAGCGGGCGTCGCCGCCTCGTCCCGGTCTCGGCGAGGCCGGCGCACCTGGAGGGCCGGCGGGTTCTCTCGGCCATGTTCTTTGAGCGGCTCTGGGGGTCCTGGCAGGGCTCCCGGCCCCCGCCTCTGCGGGTGCTCGAAGCGGCGTCCTTTCCCAAGGTAGCCGGTTCCTCCGCCCTTCGGCAGCCTCGCTTCCACACTGCCTGGGGGACCCGGAGTCCCTCAATTCCGGGCTCCAGGGAGACTGGTCACTCCCGTGTCACGAGCTTCATTGAACTCCGCTGTTTAAAAACCTAGATAGGGTGACATTCAGCGATTTCACGACCCTAGTTCGGGCTGGATGTTGACACTTGTACAATGGAAGAGCAAAAGAGCAAAGGGTGTCGGAATGGGGCCGTCTTTAACGCAGCAGCTTCGTGCCCGAGGTTCACGCCTTGGCTCTGGTTTCCTTTCCGAGCCATTGCTATAACTTAACGCTCTGGGTGTTGAAATGGTCTAGGAAGCTGAGAAGAAGGGAAATCAGAGTACTCTAACCGCAGTTAGAGGAGAGCACCGGGGTGGGCAGGGTGGTGGTTAACTTTGTGTGTCGGCAGCCTCGTTAGAGTGGCTTGTTTTATGGCAGAATTCATGTATTCATTTCACTTGTCTTGTATACCCTGAGGACCTACTGTGTGTTCTCTCCTTTACTTCCTCCTTTTCCAAAGCTCAAGATTCTGAACTGCTTGAGACTTTTAGGTAAAGGCTAAGCCAGTTTTTTTTTTCTCCATTTAGTTTATTGGTACATTTTAGGTATACAGTACCGTTACATTCATAATTGTGATCTTGTACCTTTACATGATGTATCTTGGTTCATATTTGTTCCCCATTCCCCTGCCCTCCCTTCACTCCCTCCCTCCTCCCCTGTTTACAAAGACTGTTTTCTATGTTTCCTTTTCTGATAATTTTTCTCTTCCCTTCTTTCCTTTCCGCTACCCCTCCCACTTCCCCTACTCCTTTAGACATTTTCTTCCTACTTCATGATATCAATTATACATTTTGATTCTTACTTACACTTTTAGTTTTTCCACACCAGGGAAACTATTCGGTATTTACATGTGTGTCCTATTTATTTCAATTAAGAGTATAGCCTCAATGTGCATCCACTTAGCTACAAATGTCTCCACTTTCTCATTCTTTATGGCTGAGTAGTATTCCATTTTATAAAAAACCCCCACATCTTTATCCAGTCTCCAGTTGATGGGCACTTGGGCTGTTTCCAAGCTTTAGCTATTACAAACTGTGCCACTATAAACATGGGTGCACATATATCACAGTGGTATGATGCTTTTAATTCTTTTGGGAAGATACCCAGTAAAGGAATAGCTGGGTCAAATGGG